AAAGAAGCAGAGTTTCTACTTACTTAAATACCCTGTTGACAAGCAAGGCATAGATGGTGAGACATCGAATCTGATACTTTACCCAGTTAACATCCTGTAGTATCACATTTAATTTCAGACTGGAGGGCTGGAACTATTTTGCTAGTTGTCTTTATCCAGTATCTGGTTACTGCATTATCATCCTTGGAAAAGGGCATGCGGGATACCTACTAAACTTGTTATCTTTTCCATGGAAATCAGCTGGAGGTGTTTTCTGTTACTATAAGCTTCAGGACAGGTCCCTCTCTATGACTTCAGCTCAGTCAGTGGTAAAATCCTTTCTTGTGTGACAAACCACTATCAAAACTGAAGATGACTGGTAAGCCAGTTGGCTCACTCTACACCTGAGCTAGTGTACTGAGTTTGTTTGAGTTTAAACCTGGACCAGCATGGCAATATAGAGAGTTACACAGTTTCATCCAACTTTACTCTGACTGGATGCTACGCTATCAATTAGACCAGAAAGCACCCAAACAGGACTGCACACACAGATACATGCATATTGCTCTTCAAAATTATAATGTATTTAACCCCCATTATATCGTAAGACCTAAAACTCTACATTTGGTTTGATCTGAAGCAGAAATGTAGTGATTAGCAGTGCTTTTTTTCCTATGGAAGGACAAGGAGGATCTGCTACAGTTAAGTAGTGGTGCTGGTCAGACATGGCACCCTTAACCAGGGAGATGGTGCTGGAACACATCTTCTAGTGGAAGGTGTCCCTGCTGATGGCAGGGGGGTTGGAACTAGATTATCCTTAAGGTCACTTCCAACCCAAGCCATTCTATGATTCTCTTTCTGGTCTTCCCTTGTTATTCTTGTAGGATCTGTGCTCTCAGGTTCCCCACTACACCTTTGTGGCAGGGCTTGGCCTTGCAGGTACTTTTCCTGTCCATTTTTGATCTATACGTGTAATTCAGTTACAGGTTTTAAAACCAAATATTCCTTTCCCTTGGGGTCTAATTTTTTAGACTAGTCAACTGCCAAATTATCATACTCCACACAGGCACCCAGCCCTGTAGCTGGGGATTGCCAGTTGCCTCTGTGACCAAGGACTCCACAAGCCGGAGCAGCTGAACAGGGTTGTGTGATCTCAATTGATATTTTGCCACCTGTCTCATACCTATGAATTTTTTCTCACTGACTCTGTCATCCAGTTACAGGTTGTGGGGTTTTTTTTTGTGTGTGTGAATTATTCTTTATTTCATATTGTTCTTCATTTTGTAATGTTAATTTGGCACTATCACCAATTCAATTATATTTGAGATAATCTGTGTGGGTACTGCTACATTAGCTAACTGCAATTTAATTCTGTGGTCAGATATTGTAGTGGTTTTCTTGGTAGTCTTTGAATTGTCTGTTAATAATAAATAAAATAACAGGAAAGATGTGGTACCTTAACTCCTTTTTAGAAGAAAAAAAAAAAAAAGCATTTTGATTCCTCCCCCCTCCTCCCAGCTGTAGCTGGTTTTTGCTTCAGGAATAAGTACATATCTGGGTAAGTAACATTAGGTCATGAGGGCACTTTTCACACAGTTAATCCATATTGTCACTGTGGTTTATGTTCTATCTGCTGACTTGTTGGCTGTTGAGGTTCTTGGGTCTTCTGCTCCCCAGCATGGCCTCTGACTTTGGCTTAGTATACCTCCCAATTGCTTGGGCTCCTGACCTTGGGTTGTCTCCTTATTCTATCTCCAGACTCATTAAGGCTGATTTGTAAACCCATAATCTTGTAGATTCAAGGTTTAACAGATTTTCTCTTTTGGGCTTCTGTGGTCAGACTTTACTCACGCTGTCTGGTAAACTCTTTTTGAAAGTTCAGTTATTCTTCCCAAGCCTTATCAGGTCCATGGCCTGGCTTAACTATTTTCCTGACAGTTTTTTTTTCAAATGGATCTTGGATTCTCCTTTCAAATACCCTGTTTGCATTAGGCTGCTACTGGGAAGTGTTTTTTGTAAAGCACAGCTGGGAGCTGTGATTTGATGAGAAAAAAGTCAGGCTGCTCATCAGTGTCTTAGGTATGTGGTCACAGTAGAGGAGCAGTCCTGTGGTGTCGGTGTGTAACTGCAATTCATCAAGTCTTTTGTGAAAGAGGTAGGACTTGACACTTGTTGAATCTCAGTGCTTACCAGGTAAATTTAGTAATCTAAAGTATTTCTCTGTCTCTTTAAAAATGAGGAAGTTTTTATCTGTTGATCCTAAAAAGCAGCTGTTCCCAGGTCCAATACATAGGCATGGCTAGTTTTCCCTATGCCTTTTTTCTCTCTACATTAACAACTTCTTTTTTGGGCTATCTTCCTCTATCTCCCTAACTACTTCAAATATTTATATGACTCTAATTCATCTTTTTGGTCATTAAAAGGGACAACTACTTCCTCTGGCCTCAGAGGTTCTGTTAGATTCTCATATGCAAGGTATATAACATATAATGTATACTTTAAAAAAATTCTTATTATGTCATCTGCGTAATTATTTATTCATAATTCTGTGTATATTTTCATGGTGATTTAGCAATGTTCTGTTATTTAATGTATTTATTAAACATGACAAAAGATTTGATTTTGCACTCTTTATTTAAAAGGTTACTCATCCCTGGTTTGACAATTCTAAAGAGAATCCACAGGACACAAACTTTTGCTTAATTTTTAGTTTGAGTCTTCCAAACAGAAATGTTTGTCCCAGATTACATTATTCATAAGACAGTGGTGAGAAATGTATTTTTATACTTGGAGAAATTAGTATGTTTTACATTCACCCTGCAACAGCTGGTTTAGTCTGGCATTATATTTTTTTCAGAGTTGTTGAGGGATTTGTTTAGCTCAATAGGATTTGTATTGATTTCTGTTTCACTTTTTTTTTTTTGGTGAGTTTTGTTCTTGTTTTGTTGTTATATTGATTCTGAGAGCTTTAGCCATTTGAGTTACTACAAATTTTGCTATATTTATGCTGTAATTCTACTACAATAATCAAGAACTCAGACCCTCAGAGCTATCAAAACTAAAACATCCCCTCACAACAAACAAACAACCCCTGAAAAAAACTGAATTGCAACTGGTTTCCTGGAATCTGAATAATCTCTGAAACATGTTTTACCATATTTCTTTTCCCTAGATTTTTTTTTCAGGTGACTTAGGGACATTAATTTATATTATTAATTTATAGTTATACATTGCTATTGCTCATTCCACCTACCTGAAATGTATATGTAGAATGCTGGTAAAAGCCACTGAGTTCTGTTTTGTGTCCTATCTGAGTATTTAATCTAGATGGACCGAACAACAGTATAAATATGAGATGATTGCAAAAGAGATGTAAAGTTTCTTGTATATAAAAGCAACTGTAAGTGAATTCACCCAAAGTTAAAAAATAAGATTTCCTGGTCAATTAAACAATACACTTAACATAAGCAAGCACCCTTAAATGAATAAAATAATCAGGATAAACTCAGCCATCCTAGCAAATCCCAAATTTATATCTGTTTCCAGCAATTAAACCCAGAAATAGCATTGCTTTAGCTGTCTGTAGACACTCTGTTATGCAACTGTATCATTTTCCAGTATGCCCTGGATTTGATCAAAGCCCACAAGCAGTAGTTGCCTAACTTTAAAAGAGTCCGATGGTCCCATAGAAGTCAGAGGGACTAAGTTGTTTAAAATTAAGCACATCCTAAGAGGATCTCTCCTAGGGAAGAGACAAAAAAAACCTTATAAGAATGTCAGCTCCAACAGCACTTGTTATTGAGAATGATAATTCCAGCCTCTTGGAACTATCCGAGTTAACCCAGTGGATCAGATACGCTTTGATACCAGTGCTGCAGATCAAACCTTGCCAGACTTCAAACTACAGCTGTGTCCCAAGAGGAAAAAACTTTCTCCATCACAGGCAGAATTTGGTCAGCTTCCAAAAGTGATTTATTCCTCCCTTCTTAATAAAACATCTTTTGCAGGTTTAGGTGTGACAGACACGTTCTGTAGCTTGGAGAGCTCTGGATGTAGAAAAGCTAGTGAAAAGCAATTATTCACCCCACCCCCCCAGGTGGGAAGCAGATTGAAAATTATTTGCACACACAGTTGGATGTGATGAGACAATGACCACAGAGTGGACTGAGGTTGAGCAGAGTGAATGTTTTCGCATGGTCCTGTTGTAACCATGTGAATCATAAAGTCAGTTCCTTCTGTGGGGTTGGGAACTGCTGTAGCAGTTATGTGTCCCACATGCTGGAATGACTAGGGTTCCTTATTCAGTGGAAAATCTTCACTCCTCTAGAAGTGTGGACTTTTCATTTAGAATACTGTTTTACCTTTGCTGTCAAGCGCTGAAGCTAGCACTCAGTATTTTGTGGGTTGTGGGAGAAGAAGAAAAGAAGATTTGTCTTGTAATCAGAGGACAAACACTAAGTAATGAACTGGCTTACCATCACTGGAGGCATCTAATGCTCAGTAGATTTGGAAACTATCCTGGACTATCATGCAGTATGGCTGTATTGCTGGAGTTGAGCTCTTTCAGAGCGTTTGTTACAGAATTGCATTGTCAAGGTATGAACTAAATAGCCACAGCTTCTGTTAAGTACTTCTTGATGATAATAACAGTCTTCCTCTCAAATAAGACTACATCACTACCTTAAAAATAGGAGAGTGTTCCTTCTAAAAAATAGTACATAGAGTATAGAGCTGGTAATACAGGAATTCAGCTGTATGTGTAGTGGACTGTGTGCTGTCCACTCATGGGCAACAAAGAGGAAACTAAACATGAGTAGCTGTTGAACTTAAGGAGAAAACACAAAACTCCCAGCACTTTTAAATGAACAAGATTTTATTTTAATGAAAAGTAAAGACAGATACAAACTGTGGTTTAATCAAGGAGAAAAATAGAAGCAAACTTGATAGAGCCTGAGTAAACTGGTTTTCAAATACTTGAAGACTAGCTTCTATGACACTCCATATTACATGACACATATTGTTCACTTGCCTGAAGGCTTTTTTTGTGATAAATTCTGGAAAAGAGAAAGAATTAAATTATAGAAAATTAAATCTAATGTGTTCACTGTGTCCTTTACAGAGAAGTTTTTAAACATTAAGATGTTTTTCTGTTTTGGAAGTTTGACAGGCATGATAAAATTAACGGATAAAGTAAAAGTAAGTTACATTTCTCCAACAGAAACTTGAAACTGATCATAAAAGTGGGTAATAAAAATTTCCCAGGACTGCTATTCTGCTGCTGATGCTAGTGGCTGCATCTTCAAACAGCACAATCAGGGGCTCTGAAATGAACCTTTAAAACCCCTTCATTTCCAAAAATGGGACTTCAAAATATTTTTTTTCTCTTTGTATTTTTATACAGATGGATAATCAAGAAATTTGAAGTTAGGATTGACATTAACAGAAAAAACACACTGTAATAAGTTTTTGTAAGGAATTTGTGAGTGGACAAAATGAAATATTACATAAAAGGATGCTATTATCATCCTATTTCTCTATATTCCTATCTTCCATTTAACTGACAGCTGGAGGTAAAGATTAATTTAGCTCCTACATGTATAATCTTTTGCAGCTTTGAAGAAGCTAATGATTAGTACTAGTCCTCCAAATAGGTCTTGTGCTAAAAATGTATATTTAAATTCTTTTCTGGGCTTCCCTTTTCTGTGAGAAATGATATTCCTGGACATTTGGAAATAATAGGCTAAAACAAATAAGAATTGAAGTGCATCTGCAATGCAAGGATGTTTGCTGTGTACACAGTATAAAAAACTGCTTATCTAAACCCGCTGCTAATCATCTTAAATTACACTTTTAAAGCTAAAATTATCAAACTTTTAAAATACATAATGAAAATGGCATACCATTTGCAGAGCTTCAATTTCAATTCGAAGAGTCTCACAGATACTTTCCCAATCATCATCTTTGCAATTTTCCAATTCTTTCTTAAGCCTATGTCCAAAAAAAAAGAATAAAAAAAATCAGACCAGAGATCTTGTGCTTGAGTAACTGTTTTTTTCAGCTTTGGTCCCAGTGGTCAGTTTGATTTATGTGAGAAAACCCTCATTGATCTATTTGCATGATCAGGATTTCAGGTTGCTAGTTTTGTAACTAGCATTCCAATATGCTGCTCTCCTGCAGTATTGCTGGATTTCATTCAGTACTGGCAGTTGTGATGACAACGTGAGGAACTTCAGAAGATCACATTTTGGGTTTTTACAAAGTATATCTTGACTAAGTAATTTGTTAGACAAATTTCTGGAATGTATTCTTCTCATAAACCATGAAAGATTTATGGCCTCATTAGTCATCCTTTTCCTTATTTAGACACGTAAATATGAATGTTGGTACCATATGTTACTTGCTTTCCCTGAGTATCTACTCGTAGCCGTTGGTAGGGACAGAATGTTGGATTAGAAGTTGGATCAGAATGCCTGACCTTGTGCAGCCATTCCTGGGCAATTATTGCCCTATACCCCACCACAGACTCCTTCCCCGTTTCTGCTTTTCTCTCCCCACTGCTCCTATTATTCTCAGCGCCTGCTGACTGTTTCCCAACAGTCTCAGCCAGGAATTACCCAGCTTTTGTACAATGAGGACTAATTTTAATATAGTGATTTTTGCATTCGAAAGAGCATTGACTTTTTCCTTGTTCTTTCAAGATTATATGACATCCCAAATGACACTACTAGCAAATATCTGTAAAAATATTATTTAAAATTATTTTTAATGTGAAATATTAGTAACTTAACATTCAGATCTGTTAGGAAATCAGAGAGCATGGACCCAGCACCATACAGGGAGCTACCTCTGGATGCACAGGAAGTGGTCAGCAAAAAAACGAAATTGCAGTGTGCAGTTTAGTTTTCCTAAATGAGTGGAGATATTGATAGCAGCAAGGCTTTGCAGGGATAGAATGTTCTTTTGTCTCTTTGAGGCATAAAGCAGTTTTGTCAAACAGCTCTTGGCTAATTTTTGCCTTAGGTATGGAAACATTTAACAAAACAAACCTGAGCAACAGGATTCTCAATTGCTGCATCTCCTGAAACACTGCAGCTCCTCTCCAAATGTTTTTATAGAATAAAAAGAGGCAGAAGACTTGACTTACCTAACACTGTCTGCAAACCAGGCTCACAAATCTGTAATTTTGAGAAACTGAAAAATGCAGTTTAATTGGGGAAAAACCCTCTGTAGAAAAAGACTTTTCAAGGGAAGTATCAGTGTTTGAGAAATGCGTAAGACATCAGTCCTGCTAAAAGTAGACACCTAAACTTTGCACATCAGTGACTTTAGTGGTTTAAATTAATACTTGGTAGGCCAAGAGACATCTATGCAAGAGCTTTTAATAGTCTGATGAATACAAGGTGATGAGATTATACTGAGTGTTTCCATGGCTGTCAGAAGAAAAGCATAACAAGAAAGCTGAAGTTAGTTACCCTTAATACAGTTTCAGCAAATAATGAGAATGTTGTGGGACAGACAGACTGAAAAAAGGAGGAAAACTATGTATTCTGCTTCTTGTTAAATAGCTAAACTGATGCTTTGCAGCAGGCCCTTGTTTATTATGAGGTTGAAAGAGGAGGTAGCAACCATTTTTACTTTTATATACTGTCTGTCCTACTGCAGAGAGAGTTTGTTTTCTACATGAGAAAATGGCTTTATTAAAAGTAAAAGGTATACTGAAGTTGAAAGAGGATGTAGCAACCATTTTTACTTTTATATAGTCTGTCCTACTGCAGATGGAGTTTGTTTTCTACACAAGAAAATGGCTTTATTAAAAGTAAAAGGTATAGCTTCATATGAGAAGAATAGATTAGTCACCATGTGACATTAGAATAGTAACATAAGAGTGGAATGCAAGTTAATTTTGCTGTTCTTGTGGAAAATGTAAATATCTTACCATCAATATGGAAATAGTATGAGCTCTGTGTGTGTTAAAAAGGAGTAAAAATGCCTCTTCTTTCAGAAATATTTCTCCTGCATTCATAATACATACAAGTGTTCAAGCAAAAGGAAATTTTTAACTACACTTTAAGAAAAGAAATATTCATTCTACTGTAGTACAGTGTTAGTTTACAGACCATTTTCATTGAGAGAAGTTCATTTCAAGGTCTAAGATCAGCTTCTGATCTTCATTAAATCAGCTTAATTTCATTGCTTTGCCTCCTCAGTTTTTCTGTCTGTGTTCTCTGTTAAGGTGATATTAGAATCCTAATTTGTTTAAGACAAAAAAAAAGCCCTACTTTGCCTAATTTATTTTAGGAAAAGACATAGTCTGTTAATCTCAGAGAAAATGCTCCCATTGTCTTCCACATTGTAAAAGCGATGCATACTCTGTTTGCTACTTGTCAGCTAACAGCGATACCAGTCCACGTTAGGTGTACACTAAGGATAGAACAACCACAAGATAAGCAGTAAGAGTTGCTTATCTGTGTCTTGGGATTGTGAATTAATTACTATTGATGATGTGCTTTGAAACTGTGATGTTTTGCATGTGGATTTTAAAATTTTACTTAAAATATTTTACAAAACTTTTAAATGTGGTGACAGCACAACTCCTTACACAGCATGGGGTAGTGGTGATAAAAGACATTCATTCAAATGTGGTGTTTAATTTTTACATTAATCAATTGATTTTGCTTTCAAGTCTTCCTTCTTTCTTATTTAGAAGCTACATAATTACAGTATGTGCCAGGAATATTATACTCACAAAACAAGGGCTGTCTGTTAGGTTACAGTCTACACAATTAATGCATTGGAGACGCCTGAGTTACTGAATAAATGATGAAGTTTTACCAGAAGGAACGTGAGACAATGGAACTATTAAAAAAAAAAATGCTTAACCTGGAAGCAGATTTAGCTTTTTTGTTTTACCTTTAAGATAAGCAAGATATTCATATACATCTTTCCACTATCAGATTGAATGTGCAAACCAATTAGTCATGAAACCATACTGTCTACAATGGAGGGCAAGTTTTCTGTCAGCTTTGGAAATTGAGAGAGATGTAGGTCTTTTGCCAGACCAAGGATTAATATGACATTATTATGTCATATTATATTTATATACCCTCCTTATGGCTATGATAAAAAGCAAATCTCTTAAAAACAAAAAATCTGAAAAAGCACATTAGCATTTGGCCCTCTATATCCTTTGTTTTTCTTTTATTTTTATATTTTAGTCTCTCTGATGATAATATATATCTTCCAGAAAAGTTATTTTGCTTGATTAACAGTGTATTGGTAAGTTTCAGCATCACAAGTCATGGGCTCTAATCAACAGCTGGAATTGAAATGCCATATTTGTGAAAGGAGGTTTGACTATTTCTTTGGAAAACATTCAAGATAAATAGTGATAGCAAAGCCCTAGCCTGAAATCAAGTAGGTGGGAGAACAGCATCAGCATCTTTTTGGATGCTAGCTTGCCCCAGACTGAGCTCTGCTATCAGTGGTCCATTTTCCATTACTCTTGAATGCCAGAAGTGACAAAGAGATGAAGAAGGAGGCAATCACTGAAGATGATCAATTCTGCAGCTTTGAAACGAGCGCAGCTATTAAATGTCATTGGTATTTGTAGTTGATACGCACTCTTCTTGAATTTCAGCTGTATATGCAGAAGACAAATAGGAAAAATAATTGTGAAATCAATACATGCTGCTATTATGAATTGAACTATGATGAAAATAATGTTATTGTCAAAAACGTTTCTCCAAAAATCATCCACTGATTCATTTTACTGGATCAAGACTTCAGTAGCCCAAACTGGCATACCAGGAATAATTTTATGTAAATAGAAGAAATAGTTTGTGTAGAAGGCAGAGTGAATATGTGCTTTTAGAGCTCTTTTTTTTTTTTCCTAATGACCCTACCTGGTTATTGTTAGAGTTACAGAAGGAGCAGACTGGCTCTTTGTTATGTTTTGCTGAGACAAGTAAAATATTTTTTTCTTATTTTCCTTCTTATCTTTGCCCTGTTTATTACCACAATTTTATTTTTTAACCATAAATACAAAGGAAACTATTACAATATATTATAAAATGGAGTAGCTTGACACTGATATAGAGGGCATAGAATTTATGGTATAAACCAAAGTTCCCTAATAAGTTATATACAAACTTCAGAGAATGTATGTTGATTTTCCTGAATTTTATCATAAATGTCAGGAGAAACATTTGTAAAGATATTAAGACTATACTGAGGTTGAAGAAAATTGAAGAAGACTCTGGTTTATTGTCTCAAGCCAAAGTAGATCTAGCATGTTGCAGTCGTGCAGTCTCAGATTAGTACCGGGACTAAGTTAATGTGCATGTTTCTATAGTGGGAGTAAGATTTCGCTGGGTATCCACACTTTGCTGACATTACTAAACAGAAAAATGTTATTGATACAGCTGAAGAAGTCAATAAATTTCAGACTATTATCCATTGATTGAGGAACTGAGAAAATGAGTCCTAAATGGAATTCAGTATCTCAAAACATAAACTCAAGCATTTGAGTTGAACAAATAAATTATAAAAGTATGTGCTTGATGGAGCAGAAATAGAATAAAAATTAAGAAAGTGATCTTGTAATACTAATAAATGATTGCAAGAAGATGAAACATGAAAGCAAACAGGATAATAGGCTGCATAAAAATGGGAATTAAATGTAAATTAAAATAAACAGAAATATCTTAGATAAAATAAGAAAATTTCAGCTTTTAGTGATCTGGATCAAATGCTGATTGTAAAATACATAATTATAATTGATCAAAGCTTGCGTTTTGTGAATGCTATCAGGCAACTATTTGTAAAAGTAGTTATAGGTCTTGAAAAGTGTGGAGGTTTGGTTTTGGTTTGTTTAGCTTTTAATTTATATCTCCCAAATACATAAAACGTCACAAGTCATCTTTAAGGAATATATTATTATAGATGAATAAGCCTGGAAAGGTTAAGGCACACTGGATTAAACTACACAT